TTTTAATTGTAAAAGGAAATGGTATTTTATTCTGAAATGTACGTGGACTGCCGTTACGTCGACGTGATGACGTATGAAAACGCGTGTTGACGGTTTCCTYCGTTTTCCCTCCTCGCTATCGAAGCTAGCTGTTGTGTGTTTGTTCATGTTGGTTTTTTAAACACTTCCAGCACCAGAGCCGTTTTAAACTGTCGGCTTTGAGCTCTCCAGGAGGAGGACACWGAACTGTTGCTGCAGACTGCTTGAAGGTAGATGTTTGATGAGGAATTTGATACTTTTTTTTATCACGTTACGTGATGCTAACGCTCAGCTAGCTAACAAAGCTAACGCTAGCTTTGCGTAGTTTTAAAAATGCTGTCAGGGTTAACCGTCCAGCTGAGGTCAGAGCTACGTTTTCTTTAGGAACTGGTTGTTTGGAACAAGTGACTGTTTAAATGTTGACTTTATTTATTAAATACGGTGAGTTAACGGGACTAAAACACGGTTTGAGCTAACTTTACCGAGCTGGTCTTCACCGGATCAAACTAGTTAACTTAATTAACCAGGTGACTGAGGGTGATGAGCTCATTAACTAATCAGAGACATTATAAATGAGGCTTTTCTTCTTAGTTATCAGGTTTAATGTGAGTTTTAATCCTCATCAGACCTGTAGTTGTGAACACCCAGCTTCATTTAAAGTTAAACTTTCTTCAGACAGGTGAAGGCTCCTGAGCTCACTGAGCCTTACATTAATGTTTCTGTTGAAAACATTCAGATGAACACAGTTGGACAGGTTTACTCACCTGCAGGGTCTCTGCAGTGGTTTAATATGAGATAAAAACTGCAGCAGATGAACAGAAAGTCTGTAATTTAGAGGCTCTGCAGGTCCAGTCTCAGGTCTAAACCCTCACAGATTTGGGTTAAGTGTATAAAAGTGTGCTTTTGTCTCCACAGAGGTCTTATGAGGTCCTTCTAGCAGGTCAAGATGTTCAACAACTCATTTGGGACCCCCTTCGGTGGGGGGACAGGGGGCTTCGGCACGTCGTCCACCTTTGGTCAGCAGAGTAAGTCCTCATAAGTCCTGAAGTTTATTACTTCATGTCTGACACAAGTTAAATACAACTAACGATTAATTTAATAATCCATTAATCAGACGAATCATTAAAACACTTATTTTATAAATTAATTTAATTCCTGTATAAATTACAGATGCAACTTATTGATTAATAAATTAATCTGAAGTAGATTTATCTTATATAAAGACTAACAGTTAATTAATAAGCAGCCATTTTATAAAAAAACAGAGTTTTATTGAATCAAGTCTTCATAACATGAAGGATTTTATAAAAACATAATAAAATATGATTTTTAGATGTAAAACTAACTTCAGATCTACTTGTCCTAACAACACAATTTAAAAACTGGTTTAAAGTTGGAAGTCTCTACTTTTCACTCTCTTTACAGGTAGAGTTTTTTTTCTTTCTAAACTTTATTCAGTCAGCCAGCAGTGACAACGCTCTGCAGGTGATGTAAACGGCTCAGCGACACGGTGAAGGACACACAAATTGCGCAACACAACAAATCGATAATGAAATTCGTTGCCAACGCTTTTAAAAATTGATTTTATGGATTTTATTGGTTGGTTGTTGCAGCCCTGTTTGAGTGTTCAGGACCCTGGTTTTATTGRTCCAGAGGCAGGTGCTGATGATTAATGTGAACAGGTCCAGTGTTGTTCTCTGCTGTGTAAACATTACAGTTAATTAAAATAAAAACATCAGTAAGGTTAGAAGAACAGGAAGTGTTGAAATGAATAAAACTGGTGTTTACAGTTAATTAAAATAAAGACATCAGTAAGGTTTGAAGAACAGGAAGTGTTGAAATGAATAAAACTGGTGTTTACAGTTAATTAAAATAAAGACAGTAGTAAGGTTTGAAGAACAGGAAGTGATGTAATGAATAAAACTGTTTACAGTTAATTAAAATAAAGATATCAGTAAGGTTTGAAGAACAGGAAGTGTTGAAATGAATAAAACTGGTGTTTACAGTTAATTAAAATAAAGACATCAGTAAGGTTAGAAGAACAGGAAGTGATGAAATGAATAAAACTGTTTACAGTTAATTAAAATAAAGACATTAGTAAGGTTTGAAGAACAGGAAGTGTTGAAGGAGCAGTCAGCAGCTCTGATGTCCCTGCAGATGCAGGCTTTGGGACAGCTGGAGGCTTTGGGACGTCTGCGTTTGGAGCCACCACCAACACAGGAGGACTGTTTGGATCCACTCAGACT